CCTTTATTCACATTCCTCTGCTGAACGCCTTGTCCGAGGTGACGCAGCATTTACGGAGCTTGCAATAGCCTCCTAAGCTTTTTTTGTCCGTGCTTGTAACAGCTGGGCCAAACTTTCCTCACACTACCTCCTTCCATTTAAGCACCAACTGTGCCAAAAGAACCGTTTCAATTGTCGTCCAGTTTGGTTTTCTTTTAGAATCCATTGTCTTGCTATGACTTTTGCGTTTGACCATTAATATATACAACATGTGCATCTATTAGTGGAAATTGATTGGTGGTGTGCTAGGTAGATTTTAGTACAACCAATTAAAGGTATGACCATAGAAAGGTATGTTGTATAAAGCTCTACATTAACGGTTTAATGTCACTAATATATTCACCGCGCAGCTCCTCTATTGGTTGAACTCAGTATTTGGGGTGGGATTTTGTTTGTAGTCCTCATTTCACAACACTTAAATGCTGGCTCTGTCAGCACTTAGGAATTGGGCTTAGACTTTGCTGAAAGTTACTTTTAGCAGCTTTATACAATGATCTTAGGTCCTACTTTTTGCTAAGATTTTTTTTTTTTTTTTAAAAGTCCAAGTGTGCGACCATTCTTAAGACCATTCTTAGGAAGTTTTATGCATACCGGCCCAAGTTTAGTAGGTGTGTTTAAACAGGGAAATCTGCAAACTGTTGGATTCTGGCCCTCCTGGATCGGCACTGGGGAACCCTAATCTAAAGAATCTTTCTCAGCATCTTTCTGCCTCACAGAATCAGAGCTACATACTTAGATCTTTAGATATGCCAGGAGTATCCAGCCTTCTGTTTTATCCAGAACATTGGGTACCAGTTATTATGTGAAAGCAACTTGATCAGGGGAACATTCCTGCTGTATCAGACAGCATGAAGCAAATAGGACAAGCACAGCAAGGTATTCCTGCACAGGCCCTGGAGCAAAGAACTTAATATACTCACTTCCTTCCTTGATGGGGAGCTCTGGGAGTCACCTATGCAGGGTAGCGGATGTGAAGAGTGATGACCTCATCTAGTTGGGTATGGCTTTTCGGGGGATGGAAAGCATGTTGAGCTTGCGGTTCCCAGGTTCTGGAAAGCAGCCTAGAGCTAGCACATAGCTTCTACAATAACGCATGCACTATTCCTGTTGTTGACATTGCAACTGCGTCATGACCAAGCTATAGCACCATATGGCAGCAGTTTACAGCCCAGGTCAATGCGTGTAAAAAAAAAGCTTTGCAGCTGGTTGCCTTAAATTTTTAAGTTGGTTCAACTTAACTTACGTCTTTTAATTTGCAGCTTTAAATCTTGCATCCAAACGTTTTCCACAGATACCTGTATGGTTTTCACTTTAAAAATCAAATACAGAGATTGCAAACCATACTGTAAACACGATACACAGAAAAATATTTATTTGGCAATTCTGCAGCAAGCAACATTTTCTGTCAGCATGAAATGCAAAAATTGGACTCAGATATAGTTCTAACTACAGTCATCCAGAAAATAAATAAATAAAAATAAACGGAAAACAAAATTAAATTAAAATAAAATAAAAGGCAAAAAGAGAGGCAAAAATATTAATCCTTTAAATCTTCAAATGCCTTTAAAGCGCTGCAGTAAAACAAAACACAAACGCTATTAAAGTGCTGAAGTAACAAAATTGTTCTCAAAGTGCCAAAATAATCTTAAATGCTGCAGCAATAAACAAGACATGTGCTAGAGCAATCAGTTATTTACAACTGTTAAAACAATACTTAAGTCATAAAACCTTACCTTAAGACTCAAAACTGTCTTGGCATACATATACATGTATTACAAATACAGCTATTGAACAAACAGGAATAAATCAGTGCTTGCACTTTTGATTAGCAATATGAACTGCAACTACTTAAACTTTAACAATTTGTTTTTGTAGGACTGGATTCTCGCAGACCACTGGGGGTCAAGGCCAATAAACACTTTCTGAATTGTTTCAAACATGTATTTTAGTTGTTCAGGATAACTAATGTTGAGGGCATAAATCAAGCCAAATAGGAGAGCAACAGCTGTAGGGAGGTCTTGCACATTATCCAGCACAACTTGCTCCTCCAGAACTACAGACAGGCATTTGGGTTTGAATGAATGGTGGGAATGTCATCTTCAAAGACAGTTAAGACCCCCATCTTCATCCCTTTTGTGTGAGTGTCTTCTGGGTCTGTGTCCTGAAGTAAAAAGCAGCCTAAAAACAGAATTAAAAACCATTTTTTTATTGACTGAATTCTGCTGGACCACAACAAGCTTTTTATATTGTTGAGATGCAGTAATTTTCCATTGTTTTCTTGGATATAACTTGTTGAATTTGTGCTGTCAGACTTATCACTCAGAAGCATTCAACTAACATGATTCAATAAATACATTTTTGCCAACACTGTGTGTCCTCCTTTCTATTCTTTCCCCTGCCGTTTGGTTTATAAAACAGTTAGCAGATTGGTTTTGGACACCAGGCAAAACTCTTTTCTATTTACAAGATCTGGTTAGTACCTCAGATGAGTGTATATGCTGATAACAGACTGATAACACTTACCAGGCAAGTCTTCAGGAAGTTTCCAGACTTTTCCCTCATAAACAAAGGTAGACCTTTGAGAGCTGTAGCCTTTCTCTGAGCAAGCACATCAGAAGCCTGAAAGACACAGAAAAAGTTATATGCATGATATATTCAACCAGAAGCTTAAGGCTTACCTTTAAAGGGGCGCTATTATTCTCATTCACAGGTTACACATTTTACAATATATTTACATCATCCATCCATCCATCCATTTACTTCCGCTTATCCGAGGTCCGGTCGCGAGGGCAGCAGTCTCAGCAGGGAAACCCAGACTTCCCTCTCCCCGGCCACTTCCTCCAGCTCCTCTGGGGGAATCCCGAGGCGTTCCCAGGTCAGCTGAGAGACATAGTCCCTCCAGCGTGTCCTGGGTCTTCCCTGGGGCCTTCTCCCAGTGGGACATGCCCGGAACACCTCACCAGGGAGGCGTCCAGGAGGCATCTTAACCAGATGCCTGAGCCACCTCATCTGGCTCCTCTCAATGCGGAGGAGCAGCGGCTCTACTCTGAGTCTCTCCCGAATGACTGAGCTCCTCACCTTACAGTATCTCTAAGGGAGAGCCCAGCCACTCTGCGGAGAAAACTCATTTCGGCCGCTTGCACTCACGATCTCGTTCTTGCGGTCACTACTCATCATTTAACACTGAATAATTACTTAACAAGTTGCTAAATAATTACTTGATCAAGTTGGTCTAGGAAGGTCTTCATTTCATCTCCATAGGCTCCACCACGTGATCGGTACAACATGATCATCTTTGACGCGTATTCATCCAAAGAAGAGAAAAAGGTACTCTTCAGGTTGGTTTGTGTAATTCTGTAAAACTCGGCACAGATCTTTAAAAAAATAATAAATAAATAAATAATCTGAACAGCAAGAATCACTGAAGAATTAGGACTACACAAGTTACTCCACCCCAAACTGAAATTGTCTTTAATCACTTACCCCCATGTCATATCAAACCGTTCGTCTTCGGAACGCAAACTAAGATATTGTTCATGCATTCTGACAGCAATGTAATTAGTACGATTAACAGTGATTAACGTTTGAAAAATCTGTGTCAATAGCAACAGGCAGATACATCTTCTGTGTTTATTTGCACTTTGATTTGTATGAAAACAACATAGAACAGCAAATGCAGTTTGGGTTGAGGTGATACTCTCCAAAATAGCTCTAGAGTGATGCAGAGGAGACAAATTTTTAAATTAAGTTGTAATTTTTGTTTTCTTTGCATTAGGCGTATGACTACGTAAACGTGAAAAAATGAGCTCTGCATGACTTTCGTATGCTTCTTTGATTACCTAAATACTCCATCCACAACACACAATCCACTTAAATACAGTTTATTGTAATAACTTTACACACTAAAATTGTGCCTTTTGATACATTTAATTCAAATTTTACAAAGTAAACTTAACATGGCCTTCAAGTGAAGCACGTGAAGTGAACTACAAGATCGCTAAATAGCTGTCTGAGCTCGTTGGTAAACATCATCACATTCCTCGGAATAGCCTTTTCAAAAGACAACATAAAATTTCACGTTAAATCTTTGTTTATTTTATTTAGGTTATTTTCGATAATAAAACTAGAACAAAGCTTACCTGAAGCAGACGACATCCAGCCCCTTCCAAAATGCAGTTGAGAGGAATCCCCGTGCAAAATGCCGCGGAAACAGACTGCGCATGCGCAATGACAGTAAGTGAAACGGTCAAACAAAAAAAATCAAAAATCACGTTTACCCAACTTAACTATTTATTTTTATTGGACAAAATAGTAGTAAACATGAAGTTAAATCTTTTTTATAAGTAAACAACACTATGCTCGAAAAATTGTCCACCTAACTGATAATTTTAAACTGAGTTAATTTGCAAGTTGGATTTTTAACAGTGTAGTGTTTTCAGTTTGTTAATAAACCCGTTTCCCTGCAAGCCGAAAGTGGGTCATCCACATTTCTGTTTCTGCCTGCATCATGCTTCGCCATCGCCCCAAATCTGTCCTGATCCTTAACACACAAACACTGTGGAATACTCTCTGTAATAAACCAGACATATATAAGCACACAGACATTTAAACTTAAATCAATTATACCCCACATACTCTCCATGACAAGTATAATAATCATTGACCCCCTTCTTTTAACAACTATCATTGCATGATTTAACCAAACTAAATACAAATTAAAACATGGCTACCTTACACTAAGAGTTCCCATGCATCGCGGTAATATATCCAATTGCTGCAGCTCCAGATCACGGCTAGGAACAAAGTGATATTGCTTGATTACAGTATATCTCAACAAATTACTCTAATATCACCCAACGGATAGCATGTCATTCAACAAACAAACCACAACTACCTACCATCCACCTGTAAAGATATACTCTAACGCAATCCACCAGTCAGTGTAACTGAACTGCATTCATTCCGCTTTTTGCGTTTTGGGCTGGCTGTAAAGGGTGAAAATTCTGCCTGCCATGCGAATAAACTACTCTTATCCAACTCATAACACGTTCGACTCTGTGTTCAAATTAACTTTCTCCCTCCCTCTTACCAACCGGACTCACCAAACAATTCCTCATTCCTGCTTTTATCTCAGTCTCTGTCCCCACCCTTGCCATCCATTCCGCATGTGCACCACCGGAAATAATCAGGCTCACCTCAAGACAAACCAACTCCCTCTATTTGAACAGAGTGCAATAGGGACCAACCTACATAAAACTTCTGCCATTTTAAGATAGCTATACTACACTCTGCCACACCCACACCAGATTTGAACACTCACCGTCCCAGTGAGGATAAACCCCTTTCTGATTATAGCTATGGCCTGAATGCCACCTGCCTGGGGGCAGTGGGGGGTGTTGGTCTACCCTCTATTGAATTGGTTTGGCTCACCTCAACACAGGCAGTTCTAGGCAAACAGAATGGATTACTATACTGACCTGCTGTGGCCCTTGCTGAACACCTCGCCACCATGTCAATACTCGAGAGGGGACTCTGTACGATTTCCACTGAGGTTACAGCACAGGCATCACCTTGTGCATGAGTTGCAGTCTGGCCAGACGCAGTTGTTCAGGGGGAGAAAGAATGGGCGGACTACCCACCGAAAACATGCCTCCAATATCTTCTGCGCCAACTGCTGATTCCACCAATATGATTGTAACCTCATGCCAGATCCAAAGTCAAGAACCACTTTGCACCGGTCAGTGCATCCAGAGATTCTTCTATTCAAGAGTTGGTAATCCACACAAAGTCTCATGTCTCCTCCCCTCTTTTGTACAACAACTATAGGTGATGAATAAGGGCTAGAACTAGACCACACAATTCCTGCCTCCAGCAGCTGCTGGATATGAGCTTTCACCTGCTCATACTGGGATGGAGGCAATCGATGATATCTCTGCAGAATGGGGACATCATCGGTAAGTGGTGCATCCTACATCACCTTCCCCTCGGCTAAAAACATTATTGTGTTTCTTCAAAAGTGCCCTTGCTCGCTGTCCCTGTTCCGCAGATAACGTAGACCATGACAGATTAGAACAGCCGACCAAAGGGGTGGTTTGTACCGCCACTGACTGCACGATAGCGATCTGTCCTCAACTCCTCCAACCCACAATACTCACTGAACATCCTGCTGACATCACTTGAACAATATGGAGGTCACCCGGTTGAAGCCATCTTGCAAACTTACATTCGTTACCTGTACCTCTAGCACCAATTTATTCACTGCCAATAGAGCCTTGGAAATCAATAACCTCATGGGCCACTGAATTCCATCTATAGGGGGCTCTAGCAACACAGAATGAAGGGAGAGACCAGCCACACTAGGACAAACTAAGGGAATAAGCTTAAGAGACCCCGTAAGGATACACACTGCGCTTCCTTGAACCCTAGCCTTTCCTAAATACCCCTTGCTCTGGAGATTCTCAATTGGCTGGCATGTGGTAAAAACCTGTTGCCACACTCTACTGTCCTTCTCTCTTGGAGGTTGACCAAATGCCGACTTCATGTCTTCAAACAATTCTCGATGACAACCCTAAATGATATTCATCCCTAAAAGCCCTGGGACGACCTGCTTCTGTTGTCAAGTAATTAGATCAACTGGGTCACATACTACCAAAATACCCATGTTAGGAAGAGTTTTTCCCAACACCGTAACATCCAATTCCACATAACCTAAATACGGAATTTCATAACCATTGGCTGCACACAACTGTAGCCAAGTATGTGGTTTAAGAGAGTTCACACTTGATTGAAAGTTTTCTAAAAAAAGGTTTCTGTTATTGTAGATGAGCCTGTGTCCAAAAGGCAAGCAACCACCTTACCCCCCATGGAAATCTGAACCAGACACTGGCCTACAAGCTGGGGTATGGGGTCAGCCACAGCTAAATGACAAGAGCCTAACGAAGCCCCTCCTGGTGTTTGGCTCCCCACACCAGAGGGTGCTAGTTTTCTTGAGGCAGCTCTACTAACTGACTGTCAGGATTGATAACTCATCAGACAGGAACAGACAGGTATCTCCCCATTTGGTCAGCAGTTCCTGCTGGTCATCCAGTTTGGTGTTACATTAGTGTGTTTCCCTGTTGCCTGGGCTGCTGCGTGGTGAGCAGAGAAGGCTGAGTGTGCAGCTAAGTAACAGGGATCCTTTCTATCCTGAGTTCAAGGCTAGCCTAAGGCCAGTCTCAACCTTGTTTGGTATTTTGGGTTTATTTTTCTTCTGGTTTCTTGTATTGTAATATAAGTCTTTGCTTTTGTGTCCTTGTTAATGGTTTACCCAGCCCGTGTCTTATTTAGTTATGTTCTGTTTTACTTGTGTTCCAAGTTTCACCTAGTGTCGGGAACCCTCAGTATTTGTTAATATTTCCTAGTCTCTAGTGTCTGTTGATTGTAATGTACTCCACCTGTTCCTTGTTTCCCTGAGTCCTTAGTGACTGGTTAATTGGTTATGATTCTCACCTGTCCCTTGTCCAGTCTTATGAGTGTACTTAAGTGCCTTCCTTTGTTCTGTTGCTCAGTCTGTCATTGTGGTTGTTGTTGTGTTTATTGCTTGCTAGTGTTTCCAGGGGGTTATTCCACGAAGTAGGATTATTTCGATAAGTCTGGCTCATTTAAGTGGGAAATCTGTTCCATCAACGTGTCTTAAATGAATCCCTGCTGAGCTACCATGGTCATTTGCATGAGTGAACATGTCTGTTCTGGACCAGGTTAACTGTTTTGCTTAGTTAAGTGTTGTCTCAAAGAACGTCCGATGTGTGAGAACAGATTCCCAAAAGATCGTTAAAGCAGACGAAATTCTGCGCTCTCACTACTCTTGTCATTTGATCAATATAATAAAACCTATGAAATCACATCCCAGCATTCCAATTAGTTTACAAATAATTTAAATAAAAGCTTACATGTTACGTCGGCTTGCGGCCGGGGATTCAGGCAAACGGGGTTTATTTCGAGTGGACAGGACAAAACAAGAAGAACTGCACATAACGTCAATGACCGGACTGGGGAATACTGACTCAGATGTGGACTAAATACACAGGATAGGCAGAAAACAATAGGCAATAGGTGATGACAATCGGGAATCAACATGAAGTAACGAGGTGGGCGTGGCACACACGAGGATCGAACGAGCAGGTCATGACACTTACCTGTATCACAAAGGTCAAACATGAAATGCAATGACTGAAATTGAAGAAAAAAAAACCCAAATAATATGAACAGGGGTACATTAAAAACCCTGGAGATAGATATATATACACATACACACACAGTGGTACCTCAGAACTCGAATTTAATCCGTTCAGAACTCCGGATCGAATCCTAAAAAGTTTGAGTTGTGATTGAATTTTCCCCATAAGAAATAATGGAAAACCAATTAATTGGTTTCCGGCCCCTAAAAATTACACCTAAATATGTTTTTTTTTAGCATTTAAACACAAAGTTAACCGGATAAAACAAGAGCATATACTGTACTAAACACATCTAAGCACATTTATCAAAACAGTAATTTGTAAAGTAAGAAAATAAATGTATCCAAACAATGTGTCCTGCCCCGATCGACCGCTCCTTCCATGTGCCACGCCCCCTCGTTAACCCCGTGTGGAATCCCCGTGTGATCAGCTGTTTCTGGTTGTTGTCACTAGTCCTCTGTATTTCGTCTGTGTTTCAGTTTGTTCCCCAGTCTGGTCATTGTATTGTCCGTCTGCGTTTTGCCTGCCTTACCTGTAAGTAAACCCCGTATTCCCCGATACCCCGACGTCTGCGCCTTTGTTTAAATTATTTAAACATTTCTCCTCCTATAGTTTTAGGAGTACAGCCATCAAACCTTCCATACTTTTTCATCTCATAGCAGTGGGGTCACTGGGTGTGCTTGTGCTAAGCTTTCCCCTCCTCCATCTGATTTTCATTGGCTGTTGGAGGCTCACCCACATCTTCAAACCTTGGACTGCAGTAACCCATTGACCAAATGTGTAAAGTTTGGGGATCTTGCCATGAAAAGTGTGAGAATGGCAGCAGTTAAAATTTTCCCATTAAAGTAAATGACCAAAATCAGATTGGCTGTTGGAGGGACCCTGTCATCAAAAGTGTGAGAATGGCAGCAGTTTATAATGTCACATTAAAGACGAATGAAATCTGATTGGCTGTGTCTAGGCTCTGCTCACTTTTCGACCCTTGAACCAGACACCCACTCAGTAACTGTGCCTATAGCTTGGCTTAGTGTGACCACCTGTCCCTGTTTAGCAAATTTGTTGAATTTACCTTTAACAGGGTGAGTAATTTTGCAGTTTTAGCTGCCTTTAATTTTAAATAGGTGTGACCCAATGACTGTGTGATTCAAGTTTGGTGAGCTGTAAGAGTGGCAGCAGTCTGAATCTCAGTAAAAGGTCAATGGGGAAAATGGGGTGCTCGAAGGGACGTCCCAGTAAGATGGACTGGGAACAGCTTAGCATAAGTACATCCCACTGCTATGGGATAAAGTATGAAAAGTTTGATGGTTGTACTCCTAATTCTGTAGGAGGAGAAGAGTTTAGAAAATGGAGATGGAGAATAATAATAATAAAAAACAATAATGGTCCATAGCACTATGTGCTTTGGACCCTTAATAATAATAATAATAATCTGAAGAGGAAGAACAGTATGTTGGCTTTTTCAAGCCAACATAATTACACGACCCTAAACACTCAATGATTTATTTCCAGGCCTCATTGGATGCCCAGGACACTAGCAGTGGATTGTACCAGCTTAGCTTAAGTTTGATCTTACGGTCAGGTGTAAAGTGTGCTTTAAATCATATGTTTAAACTAGCTATTTTGGAACTAGTGCCATATTCTTTGTCAGTTGCAGCACTGCTACTTAAGTTACATCGTAGTTAGTAGCTACTAAATAAAAATAGTGTCGCACAGTATGACATTTTCACCGTGGACAGCTTTCTATCACGGTCTATTACCGGAACCAACTCACTGTTTGTTGAGTTTGGATTATACATGGCTACCGATTTGTTTTCTCTGTATTTATGAGAATTGCTTAAAACACAGCTGCAATAAAACCCGTAATGTGCTGTTTATGGTGTAATATAAGTGTGTTTTTAGGAAGCTTGCTGTGTGTGGTTTAGGGGCACAATGGATCACAAAATTCACTGTTCGGCTCATGCCATGGTATACGAGTCACGGACTGGATAATTTTTCGTATCTGCAAAGAAGAAAAAAAGATAGACAAATATAACTTTGATTCCTTTTATTACTTAAGAACTGAAAGAAAACCCAAAGCATGTAAATTTTAACATGCCCATTTACGTGCACATACAAGCTGCTTTGTCTGTATCTTTTCACTGCAACTCTGCATCAGACGGAAGTCTAGAGGACATACATCATTGTCTTTTTCTGTCTTGTGTTGAAATCACAACTTGTTTTTCTCACGATCTCATCAAAGCCAAAGCTGTTTTCTCAAGATCACAAAATAACTTGGAAAAACAAAAGTTGTAATTAGACATGCAAACAGCATGTGTCATGAGAAGGGGTGAAGCGGATTCCAATAAAAATGCCATAGCTATCATGCTATTACATTCATTTTTTTGTTATTGCATTCTCACAGAAAATCTAAAATTCCCCCGTGTCCTACACATAAGTGGGGGATTCTCCCCCACTTATGTGTAGGACAATGTGCGAGAAATTATTTTAAATTTAAGAAGTGACAACAACAATAAAACTATTTCCAACGATCATGGTTAAACTTTGCAGTTAATCCACGGTTCTCATACTGGGGTGGGATCCGGACGGAGGTGTCTTATACCACTAGTATGTTTATCAAATTTGTGGTACAGTTATACAGACATTTATTGTAGGTGCTTGACATTCGTCTTGCTACATGAGATATTCAAGCTCAAGAAATATTAACAGGGTTGACACGAAACACCAACGGCAGGGTAGTGTATTTCTCTAGCTTGCCAGCCAACGTCTGCAGACTAGACTAAGGTTGTCATATCATGCCAGTGACCTTGTTTTATCCTAAATTAGCGTCCATTTTCACCATTTTGCACTGTTTCTTTTCTTTTTGTTACGACGGATCTTCCGTATAATGTTAGTGTAAAATTTACGTTATGCTACACTATTTGCATTGTGCAATCATTACTCTTTAGTAGTTTATGTCCATCGTAGGCTAAGATCGAACTTACGCTTAGCTGGTGTAACCCCCTGATGAACATGATTACTCAGAAGTGCTATTGTGCACAAACCTGTGGTTTGCACCTGATATGATGAACCGGCTAAGATTTCTCCCAAAGGGTCACATGCCAGTCACTTGGGGTCTCCAAAGGACGCAGACATGCTCATCACTTCAACTTTTAGAATAGGGTACATGTAGACACAGATACACACAGACGTGTGGGGACCTTACATGCATTTCTATGGGGAAAACCCGAATTCCAATCACGACACCCTTAACCCATACCCAACCCTAACCTTAAGCAAAAGTAACCAAAGAAAATAAAAACTTTTGGCACTGTCACTTTTTTGATTGCATTCACAAATATAAAATTGAGGTTATGTAAATAGGGACATGAAAAATGCCCCCAAAAGTAAGGAAGTTTCAAGTTTTACCACATTTTGGGGACATTTTGGTTCCCAAATATTATCTATAAAAAAGCACACACACTCACAAACAAACAAACAAACACACACAGACACACACACACATGCACGTTTTTCATTATGTTGTCCAACCAAGATGCTCTCTCAAATTTTGGAAGCACAGTATTACTGTCTGGAAGAAATAAGGATCACAACTGGTTTACCCATTTCTGAGATGTTCCTGTGCTATTTTCCAATGTTTGCTTAGTCAGGCACAGGCTTGGGCAGAATCTAATATTATAAAATTCGCTGGGTGATTGGGTGGGGGGTATGGTACCCACAGTATGACCCCCAGCTACTTACAATACACAACATTCTGGGTGTATTTTATTACCATAATACTGTTCAAGCCTAATTGGCCAGATGTCAACTAAAGCCATAAAGCTAGTGGCAGTCTAAACCACATGTAACTGAAGGAACCCTTTGGTCCGATACAAAAGGCAGAGGTAAATCTACAAGAGGCCATAGGTGTCACCGTGCCTCACTCTTGGTGGAGCAGCTTTATTGGGAAAATACAAGATTGATCTGCCCACACAGCATTTACAAACAAGTTCAAAATGGAATTTACATTGTCAAGAAATCTCTTTTCACATTTGATTTGTAGGGTATTAACATGTGTACACACATTAATATACATGGTTAGACAGTTGCAGAAGATCAATTAGACAAACATAAGGACCTCTATGAAACTGCACTTTTGCTGTTCTGCCACTAGAGCACAGCGTTGCTCTGGTTTCACAATCCCCTCTGCAAGTTACATTAGGTTCACACCGGTATAAATGAAAATTACAGGGATGACAAAGACATCATTCCTTACTGTTTCTAAGGTATTTATCTTTGGTTAAATAATAAAAAAAATTGTAACAGTCCACTGCTGTTTTACTGAAGGGCAGTCTCAGGAAACTGTCACATGATGTCAGTAACACAATATAATTTACAGGATCCCTCTCCAACACCAAAACTGGGAAAAGCATTCTGCAACTTGCTGGCTCAATCCAGAGTATGCTATGGATGCACTCCCTTCAAAACATTAACTAAAAGGGTAATCTCATACTTCTGAGAGGGACCTACTTTGTGGCATTTTAGAAGGCACGGCCTCTAGTCAGTGAACACAGCATGTCATAAGGCTCCCATGAGCAAATGGGCCTCATTCCCTCTGCATTTTTGTTAACATCTGCCTTTCAAATTAACATATTAACACATTACAACAAATTAACATATTACACAGTATGGTTGGGCTTAATCTTCCAAAAATATAGATTAGCAAGGTTACTACAAAAATATACCCACAAGGTTCACTATGCCTTCAGTCACAGCAGTGTTATTAAAAGTGTGTGAGCACTGTAACAGCAGAAACACCCATATGCCCTCATTACGCTCTTCAATAATCTCATCAAACATTCTCCACCACACTTACTGCCAGTTTTCAATTCAACTTACTAACCTGCAGCTACTGTAGCTCTGCTCAAAAGACTTCCCAACTCCTGCTCTGAAAGCCATCACTAAAAACCAGTGCTTCCTGGTGACAACACTGGACTGATTCACCATTTGGAATGATGCCCAGATGCAGAAAAAGACGTAGAGCTGTGCTTCTTACCTCCCTCCCTCCCTCCCTCCCTCACTCACTCACTCACTCTCTCTCTCTGGC